TCGGTTTAAATGGTCTCATCCGAAGGATATGTCTGGAGGCCATAAAACTAAGACGAACTCACATTTGATATCAGTCTCTCTTTTCTGCTATTTATCCCTTTGTTAAAACTGAGACTGGGACCAAAAGAAAGTTCGTCTAAGTTTTATGGCACCAAGGCCAGGTTTCCACGTCCCACAATGGGATTTTAAGCTGCAACGTAATCAACTCCTTACTCCACGAATCTAGAGCAGACGCTTTATCGTTGGCCACACAGTCGACTGATATGTTAGTTGTAGACTGCTTAATTTCAATCCTGAGAGAACTGAGTATATCAGAAGAAAAGCTGATATCATAAAACTGGCATTGGGAAGTAATTTCAATTGGGAGCACATCCAAACATTTTCAGTTTGGGTGGGAATTTACCAAGCTGAAAATTCTTGATATGCCAAAAGATCATCGGATTTACATGATAATATCATTAAAGGGGCACATCCATAAATCTCATTTGGAAACTACTCCAGCATTATGGAAAGGCTCCTACCTTCATCAACCTTATACGACGATACAAGGATACAATGCCAAGTCATCCACAATGGAAAACTTACATAAACGTTTGAGGTGCAGACATGGGTAAGACAAGGCTCTCTACTGTCACCAATGATTTTCCTAGTGGTAATGGACAGGATCATGCGGGAAACTACTAGAGGTAGCAAGACTTGAGTCCAGTGGATTTTCTCTCAGTGATTGGAATATCTCGATATATAACACCAATGTTAAGTCTGTGCTCTACGGGTCTGAAAACAAAGAGAATTACCAACACCACCTCCAAAAAACACAAACCTTCGCAAACAGATGTCTGCGCCACATAATAACCATCAGGCGGTCAGAAAATATATACAAAAAGAACCTGTGAAAACAACAAATCAAGACCCTATCACTCAGCAAATGGCCCGTAGAAAGTGGCGGTGGATAGGCATACATATATCCCCCGAAAACATCGGGAGACAATACACGCACTCGATTTGAACTCCCAAGGCAAACGTCGAGTTGGGCGGCCCAGGACAACTTGGCAAAGGTCATGTGAAGAGGAAATCAAACAGTTTGGACATAGCTGGGAACTAATGAAAAAGGCTGCTCAATCCAGAGTGCGAAGGAGGACTGTTGCCGAGCCTCTATGTTCCAACAGGAACCATGAATGAATGACATCCACAAAGTATTATATATTACTCAGTATATCTATGTCTTAAAAATTATTTGGGGATAATAACTCTCATACATCCTTTTCCCTATCTATGCTGTACAAAATACCTGCCTCGCTCATCTAGGAAATCGCCAAGTTAGATAGGGTTTTCAATCAAAGTGAGACCAGACATGATTGTTGTTGGAAGTTATTTTCAAAGATTCAAGGAGACGACCCAACTCGACATTTATTCTTTGCGATTTTGGACAGTTTCGACCTGGTTTTCCAACTATACGAGTAAACTATTTTTCAAGTGGTTAATGCAACACCGTTTAGGGCACAGTACTCCTACTTCCTGGAAATTCCTAACTCTTACGGAAATTTTCCTCAGTTCAGAACGTTGCTGTTGTATTGAACTCAAATATTTGGATGATGGACAAGTAATAAATCTAAGGAATATCAGTCAATCAGCTCGGCATCAGACGAAGTAAAAGAAAAATGATATATCAGCCAGGGGCCTTAAGTTTTCCCTTATTTAGTTTACCAACTGTATGTTCAGAATTTAGAAAAGGAGGGAAACAATTCCAAGGAAGAAATTCCTTTTATTTTATGTGAACATAGACAGAAATGAAGCTGGAAGAGCATTAATAAAAAGGACAAATCCAGGGAACGTGTAGGGAAAGGGACGCTTCAGCAATGAAACACTCGAGAACCGTAAGACAAAATATTGCAGGCAGGAAAGCGGAAGCTCCAAACAGCAGATATTCAAGACTTTTACAGAAATGGAAAAAATCTAAGCCAGAACATCAAGTATTTACAATTTTATCTGAAAGAATCAATGCCCTATTGAATATTTTAGGAACTGGACATTTCGCCAAAGAAGTACTTCATGCTTTTAAGACAATATTTTCATACAAATATTTTCATAAAATGATGACACGTGATCAAACGTTTTATTTACTACCCCAAAAACTCAAAATATTAGTTTCAAAAATTTATTTAATAGAAAATAGAATATGAGACATAAACAAAGCAACAGAATCATCAATGGGATTTTGAGAATCAGCAAATCTTTTAGTGGTTCCGTCAACAAGGACTGTGACACATGGGAATAGACGATTTGACAAAGAGGCGTCCACTTTATGGAACTCTCTGCCTATATATTTAAGAAAGTGTGACTCAACTGGAATTTTTAAGAAAAAGCTTAAAACCTTTCTTTTTAAAAAAGCATATGACTTATAAATTGTGCATCTAAGCCTTTTATTATAGTTTGGACACATTTTAAATTTTTATCATCTTTTTAGTACTATTTTGGATATTGAACATTGTAAATTTTTATATATACCGGTATTTATCTTATTATTTTCGAATATGACATCTGTAAATATTTAAGTTTTATTTGTTTTACATATAATGATTGTACAGCGCCTTAGAGTTTTAATATATAGGGCGCTTTATAAATGTTTAATAATAATAATAATAATAATTTTGCAGCAATCATAAGTGTTTTACAAATATAAATGTGATTTATTGAGCTTACATAAAACAGATCTTAATATCTACTTTAATGCCTTAAAGGCTACATGTAGAATATAATAATAACTACAGGAAATTTTATTGAGACATATTTAGTGTCATGTTCTGATAAATCAATATAATTTTAATAAAACGTAATTTTTAGCAATTTTATGAAATTTAGATATATAATGGTAACCTAGAATGCAGTATGAATTATAAGCTACATTCAATTTCTGTAATCTCTTCAACATAAATAAGAAATGGAATCCTCTCAAAAATTTCCGCTCCTATGATATATAGAATATAAAAAAATATGTGCATACAAAGTACATATAAGAAAAAAAATTAAAGCAATATAAGCTGCATATTTGAGAAAATTATTTTGCTTTTAAAATGTGTTATATTGATTAATTTGTATGCAATTTAAACCCTTATGATTGAAAAAACCAAAATAAAAACTTAAATTGTTTCCAAAGAAATATTTCCGTACAATCGAATATATAGCATTATATAAGAAATCAATAATGTACAGGACGACAATAATGTCATTTTGCTTCAATTACAGCTTATAAAAAAATCTTTCACCGAAAATATTAACAACAGAATTTTATAAATGTTCTATTTTTCTTTCATTGAAATAGCTGATTACAAATTTGCAACGAAATTTTCCCATGTCAAAATTGCAGCCCATATTGCTTTAAGGTTTAATATATATCACATATATTGTGGTTGTGACTAAATTTGGCATATTATATTAATCAATTTTTTAAAACTAATTTTTGTCTCAATTAGACAAAATAAAACTAAAAAAAATCATCCACCATTACAGAGAGTGTGGGTGTGTGTAATATGCTGAAACCATGCATATGAATAATTATTATTCAAAGAATGTCTAGTCAAGCAGATACTTTGGTCAGTTAACCAATGATGGCTTCAAATAAAAACATTTTTCATAACATTAATATATTCATATACATGTACCATGACAAGCTTACTTTTTACAAAGGTTGGTGTCATAGCAAGCACTGAAGCATAATAAAACACAGAAGACCATTTCTTAAATTTGCTGAATCAAGCCCCACCAACAAGTTGTAGCATCTCAATATGATTGATGTCAAAATGCTGTAAAACACATAAATTAAAAAAAATTCTCGCTTCATACAAATAATGCACAAAAATAACATTTATAAATCTTTGCGCATAAAATATAACACCAAGATACCAATTTTAATTTATAGAAACACATATTGAAAATGCATCATTTGCACAACAGGACTAGCTAGCATTTTTAAGCAAATCAAAAACAATACTGGGAAATTGTTTCCCTTTCATATATCACAGGAACCCAAATATGCGTATACATGTATCAAGAGAATGCTAAAACAATTACAAATGTATAACGTATTAATGACATTTAAACTTTTCAAAAACATCCAGATTTTTGAAAAGTGCACCGAGATTCCTATATAGAATGTATTCAAATGAAAAGTGCCCACTTTGTTTCACTTACAAATATTTTACTCAAGCTCCCTTTGAAGGGTAAAGAATATAGAGATTCCTGATCACATAAGAAAATAAATATGCTCCAATGCTGAGTTTTAATTTCTTCAGAAGTGAAAATCCACATTTCCGCTAAAAACACAATTTTTAAAAAACTTTTTTTGTCAAACATGACATTAAAAAACACATACAAACTTAAACTGGCTAATTACCAGCAGGTATAATAAAAAAAAAATTATTATAAACTTCAATTACAGCCAAATTTATTAATTGTTCAATAATAATTTTATTCTATAAAAAACTAAGGAGATTAAACTTGTAAATCTGCTACCTATCTTAATGCCAAGATCAACTTCCCTGTATGCAAACATTGCACACAGAGATAAGAACTTTTCAAAATTCAAAAGCAAAAAATATTATATTGAAGGAATCTGTCAAAATTAGTGGGAAACAAAATTTGCATAACGGGCGAAGCATATGCATAAATTATCCCATGTTTCCCACTATCGTTGATGTCCCTGGCATACTATACTAACTAGACAGTGATTCCTTATATTTCCATTTAATTGTGAAATAAAATTGTAGATTTAGACTTTAAAAATGAAACTAATCGATTTAAATTACACGAGGACTCCCATGCCAATATCATATGCCCACTGACATCAAACACAAAGGCAGCCGCATGAGTTTTACATGCATATTTGGCCTCCTTGGCTCCTGACCTATCGACCTGCCTAACTGACATTCCGGCAAAATTTTCAAGAAATAAACTCCCCTAACTTTCAAAGAGTTATCACAGAGAAAAAAAAATAGAAATGGAAATATTTTTCGGTAACCCTAAAGACAAAGAAATAAAATATTTGTAAAACATAATCGATATGACACAAGTCCATAAAATGAAAATTCAGATTAATGTCCATTGACTTGCTTAAAAAAAAGTATATTTAAATAAAAAAAAACCGGAATGACGGATATGTCAAAAATGTAATGCCCTAGCTCTCTCAAGGGTAGGTTCTAAGGAAGAAATAACAAGTACTGTATACAAGATTATTTCTCATCCCATTTCTTGCCCTTTCACCCCTGAAAACAAGTTTGCCCTGTTTGAGAAATAAAAAAAAATAAAGTCTTCTTTGAATTTTCCCTGTTTTCTTTTGTTTCCCTTGTGATAAGGGAGAAATTGGCAAAATAAAAAAAGGGGGTGAAAAATTTCCTGTATGCAGTAAGTGGAATGATTATAGATATTGCACAATCCTTATCTCTTGGCACTATGAACATAAAATTTTAATGTATAGTTTGTTTCAATTGTTACATCACTGACCCTAGAACTTCATGATATACAGTGCTAATGTGGCCAGCTACACTTGTAAGGTTTAGAAGGGGGTCCTTTGTAACATTTGTTCTTTCCTTTGGCACATCCAGCAGGAGCCCAGTTCTATAAAATAAAAAAATTAAACATCACTTATAAAGTACATACTTTGAGTATATAGTTATTGGATAGTAACCTACATGTATCATAATTGCCTGATCATGCATATTAAGCTATTGGATGGTAACCTACATGTAACATAACTGCCTGATCACACCTATATAGTTATTGGATGGTAACCTACATGTATATGTATCATAACTGCCTGATCACACTTATATAGTTATTGGATGGTAACCTTCATGTATCATAACTGCCTGATCACACCTATATAGTTATTGGATGGTAACCTACATGTATCAAAATTGTATCAAAATTGCCTGATCACACCTATATAGTTATTGGATGGTAACCTTCATGTATCATAACTGCCTGATCACACCTATATAGTTATTGGATGGTAACCTACATGTATCAAAATTGCCTGATCACACCTATATAGTTATTAGATGGTAACCCACATGTATCATAACTGCCTGAAACAATATATCAATTGTAAATCACACCTATATAGACTTTTAAACAGATAAGCTTGATCACACCTACATAGTTATTGGATGGTAACCTACATGTATCATAACTGCCTGATCACACCTAGATAGTTATTGGATGGTAACCTAAATGTAACATAACTGCCTGATCACACCTATATAGTTATTGAATGGTTACCTACATGTAACATAAATGCCTGATCACACCTATATAGTTATTGGATGGTAACCTACATGTATCATAACTGCCTGATCACACCTATATAATTATTGGATGGTAAACAAAATTAAATATATCACATGGCTAAACATATCAGACAACATGACAGGAAAGCTATGTTATCCATCAACAGAAGTGACATAATACTAGGCTTTGTACCGAGGGGCAAATTTTTGTGATATACCATGTGGTATATGTTATATGACATTTTTAAAATTTAAAGAAAATTTAAAATCATTCAAAATCATTAAAATTTACACAAATAATCCAAAAATGCCTTCTTGACGTTAAGAAATACGCTGTGTTGTTTACTTTTGCTTAGCAACCGACGTCATAAAATCTCAAACACGAACTAAAATGCGTAAGGTAAAAACACGTGAACGTGATCGAAAGGGTGACATAACTGTTTCCGGTGTGACTCAGCATTTTCAGGGTTCATAGCAAAACTTACTACATTTGTGATGTAATAAGGAAACTTATTCAAAAATGTTATATAACTGCCTGATCACACCTATAATTACTGGATGGTAACCTACATGAATCATTACAGCATGGTCACATAATTATATAAAATGGTAATCTACCATTACAGCCTGTTCACACATATTAAGTTATTGGATGGTAACCTACTTGTATATAAACTTATTAAGTTGTTGGATGGTAACCTACTTGATCATTACAGCCTGATCAAACTTATAAAGTTGTTGGATGGTAACCTGCTTGATCATTACAGCCTGATCAAACTTATTAAGTTGTTGGATGGTAACCTACTTGATCATTACAGCCTACTCAAACTTATTAAGTTGTTGGATGGTAACCTACTTGATCATTACAGCCTGATCAAACTTATTCAGTTATTGGATGGTAACCTACTAGATCATTACAGCCTGATCAAACTTATTAAGTTATTGGATGGTAACCTACTTGATCATTACAACCTGATCAAACTTATTAAGGTATTGGATGGTAATCTACTTGATCATTACAGCCTGATCAAACTTATTAAGTTATTGGATGGTAACCTACATGTATCATTACAGCCTGATCAAACTTATTAAGTTATTGAATGGTAACCTACTTGATCATTAAAGCCTGATCAAACTTATTAAGTTGTTGGATGGTAACCTACTTTCAGCCTGATCAAACTTATAAAGTTGTTGGATGGTAACCTCCTTGATCATTACGGCCTGATCAAACTTATAAAGTTATTGGATGGTAACCTACTTGATCATTACAGCCTGATCAAACTTATTAAGTTATTGGATGGTAACCTACTTGATCATTACAGCCTGTTAACACGTATTAAGTTGTTGGATAGTAACCTAATTAATTATTACAGCCTGATCAAACTTATTAAGTTGTTGGATGGTAACCTACTAGATCATTACAGCCTGATCAAACTTATTAAGTTGTTGGATGGTAACCTTCTTGATCATTACAGCCTGATCAAACTTATTAAGTTATTGGATGGTAACCTTCTTGATCATTACAGCCTGATCAAACTTATTAAGTTATTGGATGGTAACCTACATGTATCATTACAGCCTGATCAAACTTATTAAGTTAATGAATGGTTAACCTACTTGATCATTACAGCCTGATCAAACTTATTAAGTTGTTGGATGGTAACCTACTTTCAGCCTGATCAAACTTATAAAGTTTTTGGATGGTAACCTACTTGATCATTACAGCCTGATCAAACTTATAAAGTTATTGGATAGTAACCTACTTGATCATTACAGCCTGATCAAACTCATAAAATTGTTGGATGGTAACCTGCTTGATCATTACAGCCTGATCAAACTTATTAAGTTGTTGGATGGTAACCTACGTGATCATTACAGCCTACTCAAACTTATTAAGTTGTTGGATGGTAACCTACGTGATCATTACAGCCTACTCAAACTTATTAAGTTGTTGGATGGTAACCTACTTGATCATTACAGCCTGATCAAACTTATTAAGTTATTGGATGGTAACCTACTAGATCATTACAGCCTGATCAAACTTATTAAGTTATTGGATGGTAACCTACTTGATCATTACAGCCTGATCAAACTTATTAAGTTATTGGATGGTAACCTACTTGATCATTACAGCCTGATCAAACTTATTAAGTTATTGGATGGTAACCTACATGTATCATTACAGCCTGATCAAACTTATTAAGTTATTGGATGGTAACCTACATGTATCATTACAGCCTGATCAAACTTATTAAGTTCTTGGATGGTAACCTACATGTATCATTACAGCCTGATCAAACTTATTAAGTTATTGGATGGTAACCTACATGTATCATTACAGCCTGATCAAACTTATTAAGTTGTTGGATGGTAACCTACATGTATCATTACAGCCTGATCAAACTTATTAAGTTATTGGATGGTAACCTACTTGATCATTACAGGCTGATCAAACTTATTAAGTTATTGGATGGTAACCTACATGTATCATTATAGCCTGATCAAACTTATTAAGTTCTTGGATGGTAACCTATATGTATCATTACAGCCTGATCAAACTTATTAAGTTATTGGATGGTAACCTACATGTATCATTACAGCCTGATCAAACTTATTAAGTTATTGGATGGTAACCTATGTATCATTACAGTCTGATCAAACTTATTAAGTTGTTGGATGGTAACCTACATGTATCATTACAGCCTGATCAAACTTATTAAGTTGTTGGATGGTAACCTACATGTATCATTACAGCCTGATCAAACTTATTAAGTTGTTGGATGGTAACCTACTTGATCATTACAGCCTGATCAAACTTATTAAGTTGTTGGATGGTAACCTACTTGATCATTACAGCCTGATCAAACTTATCAAGTTGTTGGATGGTAATCTACTTGATCATTACAGCCTGATCAAACTTATTAAGTTGTTGGATGGTAACCTACTTGATCATTACAGCCTGATCAAACTTATTAAGTTGTTGGATGGTAACTCACCATGACTGCCTGGTCACACATATTAAGTTGTGGAGTGGCTGGCACCAGCTTTGTCATATGATCCTGTATTTCTTTCATTAACAAAAGCATTGCCTTTTTGTATTCAGGGCTAGTGGCACTAAAATTTCCAAAAAGGAAAAGAATTTATTAAGGAGTTACAAGGATTAAGGATTTGTTTATATGTACTATACATATCCCTTGTGCAGGTGTGGGTAGGCATTGTAACATGCTTTCACATGTACTGTAAATGTATTATATTTAGGGCGTACAATATTTGGTGGAAATTGGATTTTGAACATTAGTTAGCGTGGATTTGATTTAGCGCATATCTTAATGTACTTCTTAATAGGTATATGTACCAGACATTTAGCGTAGTGCTTGAATTAGCGGATATTGCTTTCTGCCAAAAACGCTAAAAAAGATACACAGCCAAATGTAATACGTTTACAGTATGTCCTTAAATACCCATTAATGAATTAACAAACTCATCTGTAAGTAATCAAGGAACAGTCAAACTTCTTTGTTATTATTGGTATTAAGATAGAAAATATTGGAAAAGTTTGAAAGAAAATAACATGTTTATCTGTTTTTAATGGTCTTATTCAAAAGTAGCAATCTCAGTATCCATCAAACCTGATTGGATATCTCTCTCCAGGGTCCCTTCCAATATGAAACAAAAGAGGCTGAGAGGTGTGGTCAGTTTGGTTATGTGTGGTCACACCCTTAATTTCTTGTCCTGGGCAAAAGTTTATACCCTGTCAAAAGAGAATAAATATATGTATTTATAATTCACAGGATCGGTTAGTTTGTTACATTATTTGTTAGTCTTACATGTAACTATGTACTTGAAGGAAGCATTCTGAAATCCTGAATTATGAAGTTGCATTTTGGAAGTGGATCTGTGAATTGTATTTTGTATACTGTAGATTCCTTATTTTTCACGAGTACTTATTATCGCGAAAGGCCTCTGCAACGTCAAATCGCGAGAATAATATTTCACGAATGGACAGTTCATCAAGACATTTTACATTGTTTTTAGCAACATAAAAATAAAAACGAGTAATTTTATTTCGCGACTGGTGCTCCTTGCGAAATTACGCGATAATTAATTCCACATGTATATTTATGAATTTACAGTACTGATCTAAAGATGTTTGGATAATTTCCAGCTTAAACATGACCATATTTTATAATGTATTATATCTTTAACAAGAAACAAGTATATCTAAATCATCTTCAGAGTGGCTCATTCAGATTTTAATCAATGTATATTAATAAAAGCTTCATGTAGTAAAAGAAATTATCCATTGAAAGTATATTCAATGTTTGCATGCAAACATATTTTCTAATGTATGATCTCAAACAAGCTAGAGATTAAATTCATTTTCTATAATAAGAAAAATGATATTTTCGCAAAACATCCCATTTTGATTATACTTTTAACCTACCTTGTTAAATTCTTCTATTGAATTAGTCCAGGTCCACAGGTGAGCTTTATAGCTACCCATTCTTACTGCCATTATTTGATTTCCACGGTAGTAAAACAATGGTCTGAAAGATAAAACATCACATAATAATAATATATTGAATACAAGAGACCCGTGGATCACAAGTTACTATTACTGTAAACCAACTTTTATTCGCATGCGAGAAATTTTCGCAAGGTTCGCGAGAGCCTCAACATTGCGAATATTTCTCGCCGCGAACGGGTCTTTAAAGCCTTTTTTATATTAAAAACAGTTCAAAAGAGGCTTGATCTTGAAAATTAATCGCCGCGAATTAGTTTACTCCCGGTAAATCGTGAAATAAAGTCGTCGCGAATAAAAGTTGGTTTACAGTATTCTCCTGACATTTGTTTAATTGGAATCCGGGTCATTTCTCCCCAGTACCTGCTCCGCCTAGGTCATTTCTGCCCAGGTCATCTCTCTCCTGGGTCATTTCCCTCCATTACCCAGGTCATTTCTCTCCACAACCTAGGTCATTTCACTCCAACGCAAAAATTATAGTGTAATAAGTTTAATTTTATTAAGTTTATTAATTATCATGCTGAATTTATTTTTTATTTATTTATGACATCACACATTTATTGTTTATATTATTCATAATTTAAACATTTATGCATTCTCTTATTTATTTGAATAATAATTTTTTTTTTTAGAATTCTTTTATAATTTAATTCATTCCTTTATTTATTATTTTTTTGTATTAATTAATCAATCTATACAATCTTGAATTAGCTTTTCAAAAGGACAGAGGCACATGATTATTTATTTTTATTCATTAATTCTAAGACTTACTGTCTTTCTCTCTAATGGAATTAGCTGCAGAACTGTAGCTCTCTGAAAAATATGTATTGACAGTGCGGTCTGTCAAAAAAAAAAAAAAAAATCGGAGAGCTACAGTTCTGCAGCAATAATAGAATATAAAATAACTTTAAATGCGATAATAGAAATATTTTATTTTAATCTTCTTTCTTTAATTAAATTCAATATCAATTAGACTTCAAGTGAATTTGTTTATTGTCCTGTCATCTGTCGTTTATGGTCTTCATCAGGAATAAATAAATAAATGTTAGAATTTGTAATTGTTGTCTTGCGGTTTTATGGTACCCTACAAGGTGGTTTTTTTTATCATCATGCTGGGTGCATATGTTTATCCGTAAATTGTCGATTTCACAGACTGACAACACAATAGCTCCTTTAGTCTTTAGACAAAAAAATGTCAACTTGTACAAAGATGTGTTCAGCCAGATTATTATATAAATAAGAATTTTGTTCCAACTTTTTATTACATTGAATACAAACTCATTTACATGTACTGTAATACTTGCTAGCGATCACAATTTTTAGGCAAGATGACTAATCCTAAATGTATGCATTTTCACAATCAAGTAAATTTTAACTTTTTAGATTTCATTTTTCCCCAAATTACATGTTTTCTCTGTGCAACAGTGGAAGCCCCCCCACCCCACCCCCAACATTAACATGTTTATTATAAGAACGTAAAATTAATATACTGATGCGTGGATTTTTAATTTAAAATGTCCCGATTGTTACAAACATTTTTCTACATTATTTTATCTTGCGTAAATATGTATGTGCATACATGTAAAACACCTCATGAATGTCTCCTTGATAATAAAACGGAAGTATTGAACACGTCGAAACATCATTCTAGCTAACATGAGATCGAGTCTTTGCCTTTTCAAAAAGCTAGTTCAAGTTTGTGTTATAGTTGGAATATTTTTGTTTGTACTTAAAATTTATGATCTGTGGTATAACAATGGAAACTGAACGCCATGGATAAAATACGTATAAAAATGAGATGATTTTATTAAATTGAATCCAAGAATATGTGAACTTCTAGAGACAGTAGATTATTTGACATCTATTGAGAGTATCAAGATTACAAGTCCTGAACAACATTTTATACAGTCCTGATAATGTATTCTCTATTTCATAAAATATTATGGTAAACACAGCAGATTACATTATATTAAAAAGGGAGGTGGGTTTAAATAACTTTTCTTACATTAGATTCAAACATGTAAGAATCAATTTAATGGTGTAATATACCAGTACTTTAAACATAATAAAATTTCCGGCGAAGTTGTGGAGGTGTCTATTGCCGGGCTATTCCTTCATGTAAGAAGTCACGAAAATCATAGCCAACTTCATCATACCAGGACAGACCTTCTGGTAGAGTCAGCGGCATTTGTCCAAGACAGACCTTCTGGTAGAGTCAGCAGCATTTAGCGGCATTTCTCCAAAACAGACCTTCTGGTAGAGTCAGCGGCATTTCTCCAAGACACACCTTCTGGTAGAGTCAGCGGCATTTAGCGGCATTTGTCCAACACAGACCTTCTGGTAGAGTCAGCAGCATTTAGCGGCATTTCTCCAACACAGACCTTCTGGACGGGTCAGTGGCATTTAGCGGCATTTCTCCAAGACACACCTTCTGGTAGAGTCAGCAGCATTTAGCGGCATTTCTCCAAGAGAGACCTTCAGGTAGAGTCAGCGGCATTTAGCGGCATTTGTCCAACACAGACCTTCTGGTAGAGTCAGAATTGCTAATCAGCATGATACTCATGGCTAGTGTTGACCAAGATAAAGCTGTTAATTGAATTATTTTCAAAGATATTACCAAAGTACAAAGAGCTCTTTGTACAATTTAAACTGATATTTAATTACCGTGTAATATTTTTAGAATAATACTGGAAATACCATCAAACTAAATGAAAAAAATATAAATATTACTAATTGAGCAAGTCCCTGCCATTAAGGAAAAACAAATATTATACTATTTAAGTATCTCTCATACATAAAAGTAGGGGTGGGACGATACACAGATCTTGCGATACGATACGTATCTCGATATATTAGCACGATACGATACGTATCTCGATATTATGATAAATTATAAAACTATTTTAAAAAAGTATTTTATTTCATTTTCTGTCTTGACATTAAATCAACTGCTACATGATAAATTATAAAACTATGCAAAAGAATTCGTATTTTATTTTATTTTTTTTTTTGTCTTGACATTAAATCAACAAATTATTCTTAAACTATATAAAATCATGTGTGCTTTGAAATTAATACTTGAAGTTCATCAATTTCATTGACTAAAACTTTCAAAAACAATAATACATGTACATGTTATTGTTACCAAATTTCTATAAACAAGTTGTTTACAAACAGTTGTGCAGTTCATCAAAGAAGACTGACTAAAATTTCATATTTAAAAAAAAGCACATTTACATTATAATCAATTGCTGAAAGTCTGTAGCCTAGTTGAGATTACAAAAAAGCACGAGATGGACTAACAATTAATAATATCAAATGTTCTGGAAACGATACTTTCTGTGTATAGCACGCTTTACATACTGAACTTTTCTTGTCCAATCTTCCGAGGCTGCTTAAAAGTAAAAACGTTTTACCCCTAATCAACGACTTATTAGTTCTAAATTATGTTTTCAATATCATCATCGTCTCTTCGCTTCGTACAAGCCGCCATTTTCCAAGGACAGGTACTTTCATTTTCAATTTTTGGATAGGTCGTTCATGTATCGTTTCGTACCGATATTTGAATGCTTGTATCTTAAACCGTATCTTAGAGGAAAATATCGATATGTATCGGTGTATCGGTATATCGTCCCACCCCTACATAAAAGTGTAAACCATCTCTCCATTAATTACTGTATATCAGTAAATCCATGGAAAAACAACAGATTAAATTGTAATTAAGATTGTTTTATCTATGATCTATACAAAACAGTATTTATGGACTTGTTTTTTATTCCTGAGTCCTACATCTTTTTCAAGATGAAGGAATTTACTGAAAATAAAGGAGAAAGGAATTAAAGCACTCAATCTTGTTAAACAAATTCTCTAAATGTTGTCAGAAGCACTGTCTTTGAGAAATGCCGCTAAATGCCGCTGACTCTACCAGAAGGTCTGCTTTGGAGAAATGCCGCTAAATGCCGCTGACTCTACCAGAAGGTCTGTCTTGGACAAATGCCGCTAAATGCCGCTGACTCTACCAGAAGGTCTGTCTTGGAAAAATGCCGCTAAATGCCGCTGACTCTACCAGAAGGTGTGTCTTGGAGAAATGCCGCTAAATGCCGCTGACTCTACCAGAAGGTCTGTCTTGGACAAATGCCGCTGACTCTACCAGAGGGTGTGTCTAGGAGAAATGCCGCTAAATGCCGCTGACTCTACCAGAAGGTCTGTTTTGGAGAAATGCCGCTAAATGCCGCTGACTCTAACAGAAGGTCTGTGTTGGACAAATGCCGCTAAATGCCGCTGACTCTACCAGAAGGTGTGTTTTGGAGAAATGCCGCTGACTCTACCAGAAGGTCTGTCTTGGACAAATGCCGCTTAATGCCGCTGACTCTACCAGAAGGTCTGTGTTGGACAAATGCCGCTAAATGCCGCTGACTCTACCAGAAGGTCTGTCTTGGAGAAATGCTGCTCAATGCTGCTGACTCTACCAGAAGGTCTGTCTTGGACAAATGCCGCTGACTCTATCAGAAGCACTGTCTTGGACAATTGCCCCACCCACCAACCCATTTCATCTCATTTCGTGACTTCTTACATGAAGTATGAACCCTATTGCCGCACCGAGTAAGTTCCTTTTCGATGTCTTATAATTCATTTTTAAGAGATATTTTTTCCGTTGTTACATTCCCATTAATTCATGTGGTTTGATTACTTTGTTAATCTTGTATACCTTGAAAATATTGCATTTTAGATTTTTTCATATTGATAGCATTTTTACGTCATTATTTTCTTCACGTTCTTATTATTTATAATTTTATAATATACAATTATTCAAAATAAATATTGGTAAATATTTACATACTTTTACTTGTGTATCTGGTTTCATAATATATATTTTGAAGTATCCTTTGTTTTCTAAAAATTATCTATTTTTAGCTGCAGAACTGTAGTTTTCCAAAACGAAAATGTATTGAACCAGTCTGTCAATATACTTCTTTTCGGAGAGCTACAGTTCTGCAGCTGTTATTTTACGTCACGGGTATTTTCTCCCTTTTTTCTACTTAGATCAAAATTGACATATTATAATTTAAAACTGTTTTATTTTTTTTTATTCCAACGTATTTGTATTGCCAAACAAAATCAATCAATAAAAGCAAAATTTTTTTGTATTATTTTTCTAAGATTCGAGTTTGATCAGTATCTATATAATATTTAGATTATAGACAAAACTTCATCATCGGCTATGATAAAAATTAATTATTTTAACAAATTAATTTATTTTAATTGAGTTTAAATTTTTCTTTCAAAATTATTACCCTTAACAGAGGAGGCCTCCGCGAAGCAAGGGCTGGACAATGGTATCAATTTATTTTCATTAATATCAAATATTGAATTTTCCCCTGTAAATAAAATTCCGACACATTCTCTCGTTCGAATTTTATTGGTCATAAATTGATAAAATTAATTTATTTTACAAGACAAAAGTTAATAACACAAGAATGGATATGTAAATAATTATATAAGACCAGATTAAAAATGGGGTGAAATGACCCAGGTAGGAGAGAGAAATGACCTACCGTGAAATGACCTACCGTGAAATGGTAGGAGAGAGAAATAACCTGGGAGAGAAAAATTTTTAGAGAGAAATGACCTGACACCTTTAATTGTCATCATGAAATTTAAGTACATGATGGCAACAATTAATTTATAAATAGTTCATGTACGAGGGTTGTCCCGTAAAATCGTGGACAAAGCGTTTTTCTCGAAAAGTAATGGGCGCACTAAGCTGAAAATTTCAGTAAATGTTTATTTATCATATTTAAGTGCATGATAATTTTTTTGATAAAATATAGTCAAAAATAAAGATTTTATTATGCTTGAATGTGCACGGGGTATTGTCCTACGGCGCACGGACAAAAAACCAAGGTTTTATTAAAGAATACACAAGTTTGAATTCAAAATAAAAGTTTTAAATACATAAGATTTGGATTAAAATTATCCTAATTCAATTCCACAATCAATTTTGTAGTCTTTGTAAAAATTTGAAGGCATTTGGTTATTTTTTGGCAATTTCTCGAGCATTCGAAATGGGAAAGTGGTAAACACAACACACGAAAAATGGCGACGTTTTATGACGTTACGGCGCACCGGAGAGTAGTTCCGTTTTAATTCGATGTTGAAATGACACCTTTAGAGACTTGAAATGACCATTGAAGAAAAAAGATTATAAAAATATCACCATATCTTAAGTATACAAATGAAATAGGAGTTTTCTTAGCGAAGTCTTTTTTGATCGAGTCCCTGGGGAGTACAAAACACACGGACAAACTCCTAATGTAATAGCAAAAGACACAGTCACAGTAGACCGCCGATATGAGATTTTCTATTAGTTGAATGATGGTGGGAATATTGTCCGTAACTTACTGATAAATCTTCAGAAGATCGCATGAGGGTGCCAACTGGTTCTTCGACTGTTTATGGGGACTAAAGAATGTGTATCAATGAAATTCCTAAATTTAAGTCGGACTCATCCAACTTCATTTTCAGCAAAGATAAAACGAGACGCTGTTTTAGACACTTTGACGTTATAATCCATGCGCCCTAAAGTGATACAATACATGGCATAAAATCTCATAATTTGTTTATTTATGCATATATTTATCTGAAATTTGCTGTGTATATTACTAAAATATGTACTAAATAATAGTGAAAATTTCAGAATGCAGTGATGTTTATTTTTTACACTAAACAACTTGTCCACGATTTTACGGGACAACCCTCGTATATATACATTGAAGCTCGATGGCAACATATTACAAGTTGACCCCTTTTCTTCCATATTGCATCATTTTTTTAAAAATGTTTAATCAAAATTTTGATCCCAGAGTTCCTTAGACCATGCTTTAAATTGATTCACAGTTAAATGCTTGCATATGAATATGCCCTTTGCTCTCTTGAGAGGCTGTAAAGTAAACTTAAGATTTTTCTTAATTATTTCTACATAAAACTTGATCCTCTTTTGCCATCCTACCTTATTCCCATGCAGATCTCATGAATTTAACAAACTTGAATCAGATTCTATACAAATAAAGATAATTTTACCAATCATCTGATTTGTATGAAATCCGAAACTTTTTATAGTTTAAATTTCCCTAATATATTGCAATTGCAACACCCATTCTTACCTCTGCACTTCTGTGTGATTAAGCAATGAAGTGCGAAGACTGATTCCGTCGATGACACGGTCCTTTGGTTTATCGACGCCCGCAAAATCTGCAAACGTGGAGTACAGATCCATTAAAGAGCCTACCTGAGCTGAAACCTGTTCAAAGAAAAGAATTTATTACAATTAATATTAGGCCATGCAAAGTTAATTCCTTGGTTCTCAGGCCTTTTTTTTTAAGAAATATGATTAGGGAGGGAGGCATTTTTTTTTTTTTTTTACATTTTTATTGCCCCAAAACATGATGAGGCAGCTTTTTACAGTGTACAAAACCTCATGAAAGAAAAAGTGAGAAAGCTCCCACATCCCACACTCCCCAAAACTCAAAGTGCCGAAAATCCTGAAAAAAATAAAGGAATTGGAATTTCCTGATGCACATCTACATATTGTGTCCAAAATGTCTGCAAAGTTTGACAAAATTCTGTGAAGTGGTTTATGAGGAGTTGCGCTGACAAACTGTTCATCTCTATATTCAAGATATGGCCAAAAATCTAAGGTTAAAAGTGCCGAAATTCCCGAAAATAATAAAGGAATTGGAATTTCCAGGTAATAAGCACATCTAAAAATTGTGTCCTAAATATGTGCAAAGTTTGACCAAATTCTGTTCAGTGGTTTATGAGGAGTTGCGCTGACAAACTGATCATCTCTATATTCGAGGTATGGCCAAAAATCTAAGTTGAAAAGTGCCGAAATTCTCAGAAAAAAAGGAATCGGAATTTCCTAGTAATATGCACACCTACATATTGTGTCCTAAATATGTGCAAAGTCTGATCAAATTCTGTGCAGCAGTTTATGAGGAGTTGTGCTGACAAAAAAACAGGACTGACAGACTGCCTGACTGACACTCTGACTGACGGATGGGTCAAAAACATTATACCTCATGCATATTGTTGCATGGGGTATAAAAATGATGAGGGAGGTGATTTGTTGCTTTTATTTTATTGATTTAGAAATAAAAAGGGTGAATGAGGCACCCTTGGAAGAGATGAGGGAGGGCCTGAGAACCAAGAAATTAATTTTTTTAAGTGAAGAAGGTAAAAGGAGGTTACTGATTTCACCAACCACAATTAAGCCCACCCCCCTTGACATTTACAGGTATGTGTTTATTTTAAACAATTAAAGTTTTTCAGACTTAAACTGAATGTCCCTTTTAGTGCACAATATCATAAAAAAAAATTCCTTACCCAAGACTCATTTTAAAATAAGAATGAAATTTTTGACTTTGTATTACTGCAAAATGCAGCATTATTGAGCCACAATCCTAAGAGATCAAAAGTCAAGTCTTAAAACTGTAATTCTTTACCTCAATTTTATAGTTTTTGAATTTCTTACATTCAAAATAAGACGTCAATGGACTAAGAGTGTTTGCTGACCATTGTTTGTATATTACTAATTATTCAATGATTGACTGCCCTACCTGACCCTGTTTGATATGCCCTGGCCACCAAGCTATTGTGGGTTCTCTCATACCTCCCTCATATGTTGTTTCCTTACCACACAGAAATGGTCCATTGCTGCCCCCTACATAATAAATCAAATTATAAGTATCAGCTAGCTAAAAAGGATATTGTTCTGAGTTAAAGAAACACAGATACGGGACCAAAAGAGATAATCTTGTTATCCTGAAAAATCAAAAAAAAAGATAAAGGTATCATATTATTTACAAAACAGAGAAAACAATGTGAGGGAATGCTCTGCTTTAGAGCATTCCCTCACATTTAAGAGCAGATCTATAAATCAAGGTAGCATTTGACAGTGATCGCAATGCAAATTACTTCACTTTCGTTTCAATCACAAACACTCAATATTGCATCACTATATCCCCCAAACTCTTTGCGATGGAATAAAAAGATACAAGTAAAAGATAAACTTGCATATAATCATGCAGTATGACAGGAATGGTACAAGTAGATGGACAAATTAACCCCCCTCCCCTATTGTCCACTTTTTATCTCTCAAACAGCCTTTGATAAAAAGCTTTTTATTAATTCTTAAGGCTTTTAGAAACTTGATGCACTGTATTTCATAGTTATTTTTTTTCTTCTTTTCTTTTTAATTGTTAAATTCAAGAAAATCTAAGTATAAAATTACCATGTTCTTTGGCATATGTAGCACCACCATTGTCGGAGGAGAAAAATACCAGAGTATTATTGTCTATTTTTAGCTTCTTTAATGTGGTGAGAATTTTTCCCACAGCAAAATCCAGTTCTCTTACAACATCACCATACCTAAAGAGTTGATGATAAAAAACTATCATTTTGAACACTGTTCATATCAGGTATAAACTAGAACTGTCCAAATGGGACAAAATACCCCCCGCTGGGTTTTTCAGAAGTAAGTTTTTCCATAATAAAGATATGTATCACACATGAATTACGAAATTTTTCTTCCAGTGACCTTGAACTTCCCCAAATGACCTTGGGTCAAGGTTATTACAAACCCTTGGGTCATGGGCAATCTTTGTGTGGAATGAGAACCTACCAAGTTTATCCATAAGAAAGATATGGACCGGACACAAATTATGAATTTTACTTCCAGTGACCTTGAACTTCATTTGCGGGGGGTATAACTAAGAGTCACATCGTGTGTGTCAATATCTGTTATGAACAGACCTTTTGCATTTCTTTTTAAGAAATTAAAATAATGTATTAAAGACATCACAAATTAAAATAATCACAAAAAAATTATTGATTCATATTTTTTTCCAAGGAACTGGTATTAAATTTCATGGAAACCTCAGTGTTTCTGATCAGTAAATATGTTTTTCATAATCAATACACAACATGTGTAAAATAATGATGCATGAAAAATGATTAAAATATGTAATATGTACATCTGGTTCCAAATAAATAGAAAGTAAACTTTTTTAGATTTAAGAAGCACTAAAAATTCTACTATTGACTGGTACTCACAATCCTCTTTTACTGGTTCCCAGGAAAGACTTGGAAGCATACAATGGTTCATGGGTAGCATCTACAGCCAAGTACAGGAAAAATGGCTTGGATTTATTGTGCATCCTGGTAATAAATTCTATTGCCTCCTTCAAGAAAATCAAATCATGGTAGAAAATCAAATCATGGTAGAAAATCAAATCATGGTAGAAAGGATAATTATAAATGTACATGTATACTCTAATCCCATTATGCATAGCACCAAAATGCTATGTGTATATATCTCAACATTAGAATTAACTGAAAGATGAATCAGAAAAAGAAATTCAAAATTCTCAAACCTGCATGTAAAGTTGTGTTAAGTTGGATTCCCCATTCTTTTCAATTTTATAATCTTGATAATATCTGAAAAATATTACATAATAACATTTTTACCAAATGTAAAATACTTAAAGCATAATGGTTGGGACATCTAAATCACTTTGACAAATTCAAAGTTTTTGAGATATCAGTGTTCAAGGTACCAAGATTTAACATTGTACAAGACTTTTTTTTAAAATTGATATGAAGCATATAATTTAAATAAAAGCCTCTTGATTTTCCTCTCTCTTATCATACTCATTAAATACGGATCAATAATTTAAAGTATAATATATCTATTACCAGCAAGAAATTAAAAAATACAGTATTTAAGTTCTCTATTTGAATGATTAAAATACATTTCAAATTTATCATTCAATTCCATCAATTTTTTTCCAGTGGAGATTTGATTTCACCCACCTCCCTATCATTTCTGAGTTCCTATATACCGGAATGTTAGGAGTGTGAACGTTGTCATAGGGACCAAAATGGCAGTTTGGTGCTCCAAACCATTCATCAAATCCATGCTGGAGAGGTAGGTATTGTTTCTGTTGACCCAAGTGCCTGAAATGACGTTAAAAATAGCAAAGCAACTCATGAAGTGGAGCATCCCCTCTCAAAAAGCAAAAAGATCTTTAAATCAAGACAGCATGTAACAGAGTCATTTAATGCCTCTGCTTGAAGGGATTGAACCTGGGCCTCTGGCTTGCCAGTCAATTGCTCCACCAAAAGAGTTATCCTACTAGCCCAAGCCAGTAGGATGCCTTGTATCTTACACTACTACAAGCATTCAACATTGATCCCAATGCAAATTATGGCAGACTTTACCATCTTATATTAACTGTGGTATACAATTTCAGACGGCTTTAACTGCATGCAGATACAAGTACCCAGCACCTACCATTTTCCAACTAGCTTATTCTGATATCCCACTTTATGAAGAAGTTCTGGCAGCAAAATTTCTTCATCTGGAATTCCACCCACAATATTCTGTGGGGTGTATGCTATTGTGAAAAATAGAATGATTTTAAAAAAAGTCTTGCACTATATATGCAAAATGAAAGGTTACATTCACGACATTCTCTTAAAAATATCAGTAATAGTCTAGCTGCAGCAAAAACAATTTAAACAAACAACCAGAAGTCTCTGTCAAGACTGAAGCTCTACTGGTTTGTACTTATAGCAAAGGAAGAGAAAAGTACTTAAGCAATTGGGGATTGAAACTTTACAACAGCAATAAATAGAACAATGATCCTTGATAAAGTCTCTTTATGTTCTTAGTGTAGTCTACTTGTGTCCCAAGCTTTATTGAAACCAGACCAAAACTGTAGGAGGAGTAGCATTTTGAAACAATTTTACAGAAATTTCTATTTTTAGTAACCACGACAACACCGTTCAAGGAAATCAAAAACCGATAAATCTAATTATGTATCTTGGTGCAGTCTACTTGTGTGCCAAGTTATATTGAAATCAGACCAAAACTGTAGGAGGAGTAGCATTTTGAAACCATTTTAATGAAATTTCTATTTTTAGTAACCATGACAACACCGTTCATGGAAATTAAAAACCGATACACAGAATTATGTATCTTAGTGTAATCTACTTATGTGCCAAGTTATATTGAAATCAGACCAAAACTGTAGGAGGAGTAGCATTTTGAAAGAAATTTCACAGAAATTTCTATTTTTAGTTACCACGGCAACACCGTTTATCGAAATTAAAAACCGATATCAATAATTATGTATCTTAGTGTAGTCTACTTGTGTGCCAAGTTATATTGAAATCAGACCAAAACTGTAGGAGAAGTAGCATTTTGAAAGAATTTCACAGAAATTTCTATTTTTAGTAACCAAGGCAACACCGTTCATTGAAGTCAAAAACCGATAAACAGAATTATGTCTCTTGTTCAAGACTCATTGAATCCCACGCTTATGGAAATCAGAGCAAAACTGTAGGAGGAGTAGGAGCATTTTGAAAGAATTTCACAGCAATTTCTATTTTTAGTAGCCACGGCAACATCGTTTATCGAAATCAAAAACTGATAAACAGAATTATGTATCTTAGTGTAATCCACTTGTTTGCCAAGTTATATTGAAATCAGACCAAAACTGTAGGAGGAGTAGCATTTTAAAAGAAATTTCACAGAAATTTCTATTTTTAGTTACCACAGCAACACCGTTTATCGAAATCAAAAACCGATAAAGAGAATTATGTATCTTAGTGTAGTCTACTTGTGTGTCAAATTATATTGAAATCAGACCAAAACTGTAGGAGAAGTAGCATTTTGAAAGAATTTCACAGAAATTTCTATTTTTAGTTTCCACGGCAACACCGTTTATCGAAATCAAAAACCGATATACAGAATCATGTATCTTAGTATAATCTACTTGTGTGCCAAGTTATATTAAAATCAGAGCAAAACTGTAGGAGGAGTAGCATTTTGAAAAATTGTTTACAGACAGACGGACAGACAGATAGACAGACGGACAGACAGACGGACGGACGACGGACGGACGATGGACGCATTACTATCGCATAAGCTCTTCTGGTCTCTGACCAGTAGAGCTAAAAATTAACAATTTTAGTGAACTTTTTTGATTAATAATTTAAGTACCATTCCGTGCATGGTCATTCGTAGTGTAGAATCCATTCCTTATTGGTAAACGTCCAGTCAAAAGTGCAGCCCTGGCTACAAGAAAGAAGGAAGACATAATTTACATACCGCCACATTGGAGAGATTGATTTAAATCAATTTCCAGTAAAAATTATCTACATTGTTGAGAAAGAAAAGTGTACTGGTAATTGAAATTCTACCTTTAAATAACTTCCAAGAATTATAATTTTATGTGCAGAAATACATCAATATATGAACAACTCTGCATATATTAAATAATTGAAATATTGAATTATCAGAGTTCTTTTTGAAACCTACATGGTGAGCATAATGGATTGGCAGAGTAGAAGTCAGGAAACAGCATGCCCTCCTCTGCCATCTGATCCAGGAATGGTGTCTCTTTGTTGGGTTCTCCAAATACTCCTAGGTCACCCCATCCCATCTATATGTACAATCATGCAAATTAGATGGATAATGAATTACACATATCACTAAGACATATTTCTATTATTTCATCCTTTGAATAGAGTACCTCGGGTGAAAGCCTTAGCGACAAGTCTGCCAAAATCATTCTTGCTTAATTAAACAGCAGAATTTATGAGTCGTCTTAGATTAGTGTTTTGAGGACCTTAAAAAAGAGGAAAAGTGCAGAACCAGGATTGGATACTTGTACATGTCAACCAGTAACTCAGTGGTTGATTATACTAGTACATGGTAATCTAGCTGGAGTCTCCAGAGTATCACATAATTTCTCCCTGACTGATAGATATCAATAGAAATCTGAACTCACAAGCATTTTAATAGTTTTTATGAAGAGGTCCAGGGGCAGATTTGTGATCATCGAAGTATCATAGTACCTGAGACACTTAAAAACGATTTTTAAATATATATTTTTTATAGTTCTCTGATGTACTTTAGCCTTTAAATGTTTTTATAATCATTTGATTATATATAGACTTAATTAATTAAGTGTTTCACAAATCTTGCAAATGTTGGTATTAATGCGCGAGCTAGAAGGGGGTTAGGGAGCCCCCACCCCCTCCCCCCAGATTTTTCAGAGATTTTAAATGTATATACTAAACCAAGAAAGAGTGATTGCAAAGTGGCTGAAAAAAAAATGGTTTATCAAGTTTGAAAAAGGAGGGTTTTTTTTGCTTTGCTTGCCAAGAAATTTCAGTGCTGGATTTTTGTGACTGGCGTGGAACCCCCCCCCCCCCCCCTCCCAGGGAAAAAAATCCTGGATCCTAAATCCTAAGCTTATATCTCTATTTCTTCCAATGTCTCTCAGATTATATGCAAAACATTCTTGTTTGGTTACATCGTTCAAACACACCCACTACATGTAGAACAGGTAAAGAGGTTGTCAGCTGTCAGCAGATCAACAGCCGAACAGGATCTGATCAACTGATCAATACGGATGTCAGATACAGAAGATCTATAGAATGACACATTATCAAACTTACATCATCCATCAGCATTAAAATAAAGTTTGGCTTCATAGCATTCAAAATGCTGAACTGCACAGTTATTATAAACAAGAAAATCATTTTGTTTTTTGTTTTCGTGTGAAGTTGCCGGCCTTCTTTTACTTTCAGTTTTGAGAGGCACGTGATCATACGTCATCATTCAGGAACGATAACTGGGATATTGACATTGGAAATGAAGATTGGTGTCAGATTTTAGTCAGAATACATGCAACATAGTTGACCATGAATCAACAGTTCTTAGAGACATATACAGGTTATCATTTTTATTCATATGTTTGAGCGATTATTTTTTGAGATACAAAACTTAGGCTGTTCTATCAATTGTGAAGCGTCGGATGCAGGTGTTCCGCCATTTTGATTACTCGAAACAATGTTGGACATATCTTGAATAAGATTTTACATTTGCTCCAATTATTAAACATTTAAATTTTAAATTAACGTCATTTAATGCCTTTTTGATGGAAAATTTACGAGAATCTTTAAATAACATATTGGAATTTGGTTTTAAAATTTGAAACACAATGCATCCCGGAGGGTGTAAAATGGGTGTTGGGAAGGTCAATGGAATGGCAGTGTTATGTGGCGGATCTAATTCATAGTATTACATGTTTTGTGCTTAGAGGCTTTGAAGTATTTTTGATACAACTTATTTCGATCTGTTAATTAAGGAAATTACATAAAATATCATAAAAAAATACTACGGCTTTTAAAATGTTTCTTGCAAAATAGAAAATCCAATAAAATAAAAATTAATTATCATGGCGTTTTAAAAAATATAGAAAATATTAGACATAAACAAATTTTATAGATTTATCCACTGCAATACTTTAATACTGGGATTGATCACAAAAAAGGTGGATGAAAGCTGATATGGATATGACAATATTTATCACTATTGAAAATTTAATTACAAATTAATACTTAACCCATGCTGCATGTACTAAATAATATTTTTCTGCTTTCTAATTTTTTCTATGGAACAATTTTTCTCATATTTTTAAAAATCTATTTCAATCACATCTTTCTTCATGGTTCTTGAATTCACTTCAAGGTTGACCTAGATCTAAATTTTTTCAAAATTCATGAAAAAACAAGAGGCCCAGGGGCCACATGGCTCACCTGAGCAATTAGCTAGGAAAAAGTACATATCAGATCAGAACTGAAAGTTTACTCAGTTTGGGGGGGGGGGGGGGGGGGGGGGGGGGGCTTGAATTTTAACCTCCCAGGGGGTCATGGTTTGAACAAACTAGAATCTACACTACCTGAGAATGATTCCATATAAATATCACTAAGCATGGATTTGAAGTACTTGAAAAGAGGATTTTAAAAGTTTTCGCTATATATACCTATGTTAAACTTTGATCGGCCATTTTGGCCCTACCCTACCCCCGAGGGTCATGATTTGGACAAACTTGAAGTCTACACTACCTGAGGTTAATTTCACATGAGTTTCATCTTTCCTGGCCAAGTGGTTCTCGAGAAGAAGATTTTTAAAGATTTTTCCTATATATTCCTATGTAAAACTTTGATCTGCCATTTTGGCCCCACCCTACCCCCGGGGGTCATGAATTGAACAAACTTGAATCTACACTACCTGAGGATGAAATCCACATGAGTTTCATCTTTCCTGGCCCAGTGGTTCTTGAGAAGAAGATTTTTAAAGATTTTTCCTATATATTCCTATGTAAAAATTTGATTCCATTTTGGCCCCACCCTAGCCCTGGGGGTCATGATTTGAACAAATTTGAGTTTACACTATCTGAGGATGATTCCACATGAGTTTCATCTTTCCTGGCCCAGTGTAGCTTGAGAAGAAGATTTTTTAAAAATGCCATTAATTTTTCTCTAATTCATAATTATCTCCCCTTGGAAAAGGGCGTGGCCCTTCATTTGAACAAACTTGAATCCCCTTCACCCAAGAATACTTTGTAGCAAGTTTGGTTGAAATTGGCCCAGTGGTTCTTGAGAAGAAGATGAAAATGTGAAAAGTTTACAACGACGACGACAACGACGACGACAGACAACGGACAAATTTTGATCAGAAAAGCTCACTTGAGCCTTTGGCTCAGGTGAGCTAAAATGCTTGTGAAAAAGGCCTGAGAATTTGGTTGCGATTGTAAGTTAGTCCTAAACTATAGTAATTAAGATATATGCATGTTTTCTTTTCGACTGCCATCTATTACTCCCAATATGAGAAAATGTAAAAGGATTTTCCACAATGTTACGTACACTAATCAGAGATCAATATTTAATACAATCTTTACTTTGACTACATTCACATGAATAAAGACCGATTGAATTAAATCTTAACATTAAAATGTCATAATCATTCAATGTTTGTTGCAGAAAAAACTCATGAATCTGCTTAAACCTGCTTATTCTGCAATGTTACAAAACATCTTCTACAAATCAAATATAAAGAAAGCATTTAATTGTAACAATAAATGAAGCCTTGTCTTGATCAGTTGATGCATGCATGTGCTCTCTCTTTCTCATTTGGTCTTAATTATTTCTCTCATTCCCTTTTATCTTCCTTTGAATCCTTTTTTCTCCCATTAACTCCTTTCCTGTCATACAAATGAAATACAGTCTCAGTCAGAGTCAGTGTAGTATACTTACTGTATAAGTGGAAATTTTAGCGAGACACAAATTAAGCAATTTCTCCTTAAAAATTGGTATTTTATTTTTAGCGAGAAATAATTTTAGCAATGTTAAAATGCTCACTTAAGAAGCTATTACAAGTTTTAAAATAAACGCAATTGATTTTTAGCAATATTCAATTTTAGCAATCTCAGCACCCATGTTTATATATTAATGCCATTAAGATAAAATCCTCACTAAAATGTCCACTTATATGGAATATAAATAATTAATAATCAAATCTTTGTAAATGTTAAATATTGATCTTTCAATCCTGAATGTCCTTTTACATTATAGTGCCAGGTATGGACAACCAGACAGCCGTGGCCGTCCAGTCCCTGATTGATTCCCAGGTCATCACGGAGACTACTCCTGGTAAGAAAGATAACTTATAAATATCCAACATATAAATTTGTTCTTGAAATGTTCCATAAAAGAAATTTCAGACCTTCAAAGCTAAAATATAAAGGTTTCTCCCTCATCAATTTTAGGGTTCAATATAAATGGCATTTGACATGTTTTAGATGCTCAGAAATAATTTGAAATCAGATGTGTTTGTGAAACACTATGCCCTCAGGCAATGATAACACAATTCTAGAGTTGGAGAAGACTGAAGTGATATACACTTGTGCAATGTTTTATTGATAAGGGTTTCAAAATTCAAATGTAGTTCAAAGGTCACAGTTGAGGTGACATGATCAAAATTTCTGTACCAATAGATTGATTGATTGTATGTTGTTTAACGTCCCTCTCGAGAATTTTTCGCTCATGTGGAGACTCCACCACTTGCCGGTGAAGAGCTACAAATTTTGACCTATACTTAGCACTCAGAGCCATTGAGCAGTGAGTGATCATCTTGCCAGCACCTACTGCGACACGGGACCTCGATTTATATGGTCTTATCCAAAAGACCAGACTCCAGGTCACACAGTGGAATTCCAACCCGCGAGAATAATATTTAGAATAAGAGATAGAAGGAACGCAAAAGGTCTTATTAGAAAATGTATATGATTGTATGTTATTTTTAAATGATGCATATCAGAATTTAATTATTAGTGTTGAGAGAATTTTTTTCTTTACTTGAATTTTCTAATATGCCCTCTGCCTTAATTTTTAATTAAACTTTTCTTTACATGTTTTAGTTGATGAAGATGATGTTTTTCAATGTGGCAAGTGCAAGAAGCAGTTTTGCTCCCTGTCAGTCTTTCTGAGCCACAAACAGTCACGCTGTAATGGCCCTCGTCCCATAGTGCAACAGGCAGTCTCTCGGACCAATCAGAATGCTCAAGACATTGTCCTTGCCACCAGTGCTAGAGGGGCGGCCCCTGCCCCTGAAACTGTTACTGTTGGCAGGGCACCACAGATCATTCAGGTTTGTTTGTTGTTTGTAGGGGAAAAAATTATTATTTTCCATCCATCGAAATTCCTTGCCAAAAGAAAGTAAGAATATGGCAATATAAAAAAAAAATTAATCAGCAGAAAACATTTTATATTGATTGAAGTGTAGCATAGAGTTTCTTGTATTTAAAAAAATGCAGCAATTGTTAGATATGTACATGTACAACGCAAAAATTACCAGTAACATACGGTGTAGTATGGTGAACCATGTATGCGCTACAAATGCTAGCTAGCCTAGGCCTCACAAACCAATTGCTTTTCACATGTACATGATACGTCTAGTTGTATGCCATGCAGTTAAAGAGTGCAGCACTTTCTTGATACAAAAAACATGATGATTACATGTACATGGATTGTGTTTAATGTATGTTACGAATAATATGTTTAGAATTTTTCTTTTAGTCCTCCATTCCCTCCTACAGTAACGTGACACCAGCTTCAGCCCTTGCTCAGAATGTGGTCTTAACAGATGAACTGATGTCATTCGCTAATATTGATCAATCCCTTGGTAACCAGACATTACAGCTGGTAAGAGAAGGGCAGGGGGATGTTGATTTAAAGAATTATTATATATTTAATTGATGTGTACGAAAATGTACGTTAAAAAAATTCTACATTATTGTAGAGTAACTCTCTAAAAAAATGATCAGTAATGCCAGAAAAGAGCCATTGTTAAAAAAATTTGCACCTGGATGCAAAACAAAGTATGTAGATGTACATGTATATATATTATTTTTTGGCTTTCAGGGACCTCCTGTTTCATCAGGTGGATCCTATCTGTCTCAGGTGGCATCCTATCCCTCCCAGTCTCCTAACAGTGTGACTATCTTGGGTCCCATCAACAGTGCCTCCACCCTGCCTACTGGCACCACCACCTTTAACTCGGCAACTCATATTCAAATCCAGCCAGCCCCTACTCAGCAGCCAACACTAGTCACGAGGGCAGAGAAGAGTATCGCCAACACCATAGTCAAACCTAGTCCCACTAAAGCTGGTAAATACATGTTTTTAAAGTTTTTTTTTTTTACTTTTAAACATTACAGTTGAACTTTGGCATTCCAGATTATTTCATGTTTCTAGAAAACATTTTAATTCAAAGAGAAAGCAAAATACTTAACTTTACATTGTATTTTTAGCTCACTTGAGCTTAAAGCTCAAGCAAGCTTTTCTTATCACATAGTGTCTGTTGTCCAATAAAATTGGTTTTCACATTTTTAAATTTGTAGAAGTTAGAAGCATCTTTAGGTAGAAAGGAATAAAATATGTTTGCAAATGACCTCTTTATTACTGATTTCTGCTTTATCCTAGCCAAAGTATTCTGAAAATTTGATGGTATCTTTTAAGAAATATACTTTTCAAGAACCATTGGGACAAAAAATGCATATTTAAAGTGAAATGTGTTTAATCTGGATGTTGTATTTGGGGTGTATTGGTGGATTACTAATTTTTTAGGGAGAAAATCTGCCCAGGCTCATGCTAACCTAGTCACAGTGCTGACAAGTGGGACTGAAACTGCAGGAGTGAGGATGAGGCGATGTAAAAATGGTGGCTTGATAGTGGAGGGAGAGAAGAAGAAACTGATCTGCCAGTACTGCAACAAAGCCTTCACTAAAAACTTTGACCTCCAGCAGCACATTCGAGCACACACAGGAGAAAAACCTTTCCAATGCATTGTCTGTGGGAGAGCCTTCGCTCAAAAGTCCAATGTCAAAAAACACATGAATACACACAAGGTTTGGATTTCTCAACTTATTTTTTTTTTGTTTGTTTAATTTATAATCTAATGGAAAGATTTTAAGTAGTGCTCTAATTATAATGCAATGTGATCAAGATACAATTTTTTGTAGAAATAATCAAATCAGTGAAGATTGATTTGTTGTTACATGTACATTCATATTACATACATATACATGTATTTTCAGGTTTGGCCATCAGGAACTGGGAAAACATTACCAGAACAGCCCCCTCTACAGGTGGAAAATGTTACTACTGAACAAGGGGAAGAAACCACTAAAGTCGCAGGCAGTGAGAAAGAGCAGGTCAGTGTCTATAGAAGGAAAAATTAATATAAAAAGCGGTTTTAGATCAAATGTTTTATTCCAGACTTATTTATAAATGCTAGTCAGTTATGAATTCTTAATGAGAGAAAGAAAATCTTGGTTTGAATTGAAATCCAGTTCAATACATAATTGTGTGAATTTATGAAATTGCATTTATGGGAAATCCAAATAAAACAGGACATACGATAAAATTAAATTTACATCATAGAATTTATTGTATTACATTAAATTTTGTATTATATACATGCATGATCATGAAAAACATGTGATGACAGTGCTTCATTTTATTGTGATTCTTATATAGGAGAACAACACTACAGCTGAGCCTAAGGAAGACACTAGAACCAAAGTCATGATAGACAACTCCTACGTGTGTCAGTATTGTCCTAGTCGCTTCAAGTCCTACTTCCACCTCAAATCTCACATGGTGCAGCACAAAAACCAACAGGTTAGTATGTTAATTTTTTTAATACCCTCCACCATCAAATACAACAACAAAAGACAACAAACTAATCAAAATGAGACAACTCCTTTTTTCCTACCAGTGATTAGGCTATCTAAATTTAATTCCCTAGTTCTCAGGCCAATTTTCTCCAAAACAGATGCGGGAGGGCGGCATTTTATTTTTCATTTTATTGGCAATAAAGTAGATGAGGGAGGTATTTTTTTTAATTTTAATTTCCGAATTTTCTTTAACATAAAGATAATTTTTTTAATCACATATATACTTTCCATTTCTGGTCAAAATTTCTGCTTTATCCATTGCTTAACAGCGTGTAAACATCGTAGGTAATGTCCTCGAATGTATTTTCAAACGAAGTAGCCAAAATCTCATTGTAAATGGCTACCGGAAGTGATATTTGAATACTAAACTACGAAACAAATGAGGTCGGAATTTTTTTCCCGGATTGGTCTCCGCAACACCAACTTTTTATTTTATCAAAAATACAATAAAATTGGCAATGCGGCTACCTCAAAACGGATGCGCGCGGGCCTGAGAACCAAGATTTCAATTTTATATGGCCTTAGTAGTAGATGTACACATGAAGTACTCAAAATCATCTTTTTAGGGCTCTGTTCTTTGAATTCTACATGTTGGCAGTTTATCAATAGATGTGCAATTTTTTTGAATGTTGATAAACATTTTTTCACTATTTACAGGTTTTCAAGTGTTCCATGGCTAAATGTAGTCGGGTGTTTAAAGAATTGGACTCCTTTCTGGAGCACATTAAGGAACATGAATGTGAGATGTCCTATCGCTGTCATACCTGTAGTAAGATGTTTGTGTCTTTGTATGAATTGGGCCTCCACCAATACACACACAGTCTCTACCCTCACCAGGGGCCCAAGACAGGACCAAGGTAGCTAAAAATGAATTTTCATGTTTAAAAATTATTCAATGGGACTTTTCATGTTGGGCACTAAGAACTTCTAAATAAATATATTTGTAATATATTTATATTTGTATTAAATGAAGTATTTAATAAAACAAGTGAAATTTCGTATTATGTAAATTTACTTGGAAAATGGGGAAAATAAACAATCCTGATTTGATTTTGCTTAAAAATATAGATTTTTAAAAACTCAGCTTTTGTTTTGGCAGGCATTTTCAGTGCACTCGCTGCATGAATAAGTACTCCACCCCCGAGGCCTTGGAGCACCACATAAACACCTCCTCCCATGACCACCCCTGTCCTCACTGTAACAAGTCCTTCACCTGTGAGAGATATCTACGTCGTCATTTACCCTCACATGGATCAGAAGGTTTGTTGTGTTTTTTAAAAAAATTGTTCACTTTTCGACGAGGTGTTCCAAATTGAATTCAACCAAAAATTAATGTAAATGTATAACATACAGGAATGTATTCTATTTAGCACTTTAGGAAGAAAGCAGAGACCACTACTGGGATTTTCCACTTACTTTTGCGAATAGGACCCAGGCCCTTGGAATTGGAAATTTAACGTCATTTTATCACTAATAGGGAAATTTTTATTGTATCATAGTATGATGTTTTTCAAGAAATTAACACTAAGATGAATAAAATTGATGTTTAACACGATTATTTTAGAACTTTGAATGAGAGAATTGATCATTATGATAAAATTTTACCCAATTTCCAAACCTGACCATGTTTGTATGTTGTGAATTATGATGAAGTTAACTTCTGAAGTTCTTCTGCAATCAAAAATTGAACATATGCAGACGCAGTTCATTTTTGGGAAAAAGGGAGGGGTTTTGCAATTGGGAATGGGGCCCATATTCGGCCCTACATGGGTTAGTGGAAAATCCCTGCACTAAATGAGGAATATCGCCAAAATGTCTGGTATATCATACATGTATTTAGCACATTCAGAGAGAGCTAAATCAAAGTTACGCTAACTTGTAGAAAAATGAATTTCCACCAAATATCATACATGCCACATATAATACATTATACAGTATGTTCTCCCTTTTGTTTGTAGGTCAATTTCAGTGTCCAATCTGTGAAAAGAAATTCAAAGCCGAGCACTACCTGAAAATGCATGCCTTAATTCACACAGGAGAGACGCCATTTTCCTGTGAAATCTGTCACACTGCCTTTAACCGTAAGGACAAACTCAAAAGACACATGCTGATCCATGAGCCAGCCAAGCGGTACAAGTGTCCTTTCAAAGCAGTAACAGGTAAGAATTCTGGTGGGACAGGAATTAAAGGAGTAAGGTACACATTCAAGATCAGCTCTTTTGATAAGATATTAATAGTTTTAGTGGTGTTTTATGGTGATAATTGCTTTAAATTGAATCAATTCATTACTGAAAAAAAAATGTTTTCTTGATTACCGAGCACATGTAAATGGAGGGGCATTTGCATTTTTTGAAGAAGATAGAATATTAAGGAACAAAGAAAGGAATGTACACTTTCTTTTATAGCATTCTTAGTGAAATTTATTCCCATGAAGTATAATTGTATTTTGGTACATCATACATTTGTACATGTTATTTACCTACAAGAATAAGTCTGATTTTTTAATTCTTAGACAATACTAACATTTACATTTTGCTTTTGTTTTTTAGGGTGCACTAAGGAATTCAGTAGGACTGATAAACTGAAATCTCACATAGTAACCCACAGTGGTCTTCGTCCTTACAAGTGTGGAGAGTGTGGAAGATGTTTCAGCAGAAAACCACACTTGATCGAGCACGAGAGAGGACACAGAGCAGACTACAAATTCAAATGTGAAGTCTGTCATAGAGGATTTTTCCGACCCAAACTGTTCAAGGAGCACAAGTGTATACCGGGTAAAAATGGAGAGGCACCAGCGAAGGTGTATCGACCCAGAAATAAAAGAAAAGTGGGCCGGCCCAGAAAACGCATGATAACGGTGGAGGCAGGAAAAGATAGAAACAAGAAGAGTGAGGTGGAGGAAGACAGTGAGGTGGAAGTTCAGAATGTGATGGTCATGCAGGCTGAGAGTGGGGAGGCGGTGGTGGAAGAAAGCCAAGCAGAAGTGGTGGAAGAGCCGCCCATCGAAGAACCCTCTCCAAAAACCATCGTCAAGGAAGAGGAAAGCAGCAAGGTCAAAACAGAAAAACCACCATTTTGTGTCAAAGTCACCCCTCCTGTTCCACGATACGTTACTGTCAACATGGCTTCCCAGCCTAATAGCCTTCTGGGACATGGCATTCAGACACATTTCCTGCAGACTTCAACCTCTGGTGCAGGTTATCAGAACATTGTGTCCCCCCACACCAGTTATCAACCAGTTACCATTATAGAGACTCAGTCAATTCCTATACAAGTAACTAATCTAGAGAACGTAGCTCTAAGTGACCAGCTATCTCTTCAGATGGCCTCCTTACAAGGCGGTGTTTCTGTGAGTGACAGTAATGTGTCTGTGATAGAGAGTGTCCCCATGCAGGTTGTGATGCCTTCAGATGATCCCGATAGCATGGTGACTACTCACGTTGTGGTAAGCTCCAGTGGACAAGACCAGGGGTATCCCACCTCACAGCTGGACGATTTTACGGGGCCAGAGGGAGACCCCGTTTTACAAGGCACTGAAAACCTGCTGAAGGCCCATGCTGAAATACTGCAGTCAGCTCAGTAGCATGTATTTTTCTAGTACAAATTCTGATCGTGGTTGCATTTGTAATTTATTTTGATCTATTTAAGCATAATTTATTTATTGAAAGTTTTAGTTTTTGTGGGATATATAGCATTACACAGTCTGTGTTGGTAATCAGGGTCAACATTACGTGTTTTGTGTCTGGTTTTAGTGAAACGTAAAATAATTATTTTAATATAAAATTTATTTGTACATTGTATACATTAAATGTAAATTTAGTCTTCTTGAATTATTTTTTTTTAAGAATTAAAGTATGTGCAGTTGTTTCAACATGAGTGAATCAATTGTTTGATTTAAGTTTTGACTTTTACATTGATGCTGTTTTAATTTTCATACACTGCAAGTGCAGAAGCTATTGTTTTTTATATGATTGACAGGCGGTAAATTATTGGAAGGTTTTGTATAAAATTGTGACTTTTAAAGAAAAGGTTTTGTATACAAACCAAAAATTCTCTCCCCCCTCCTGACTACATTGTTCTGAGAAATTGCATAGATCAGGGCATGCCAAAATGAATATTGCAGATTTTAAAGTGCATTTTGATCACCGTTGTTTTTCAATGTTCATTTCTCGTTCTTTACCCCCAAACATGGAAGAACCTACAGAAATTGACTTTGTTGGCTTAATGTTGAACATGATTCATAAATAGGCCTACATCACTTCATTTTTCATATTCTGCATTATCAACATGTTCAGTGTCAGCACTGTGGTTTATGCTCTTAATGATAGTCATATTTACTCAAACGAACATAAATAATTTATGAAATAAAAAATAACAGCATGTATATAGGTACAGAAGCGTTCTCGTAAGTAAGTTTAGTATTACATGTCCACTTTAATAATACAAATAAATCTTGACTTCTCCGCAACTTTGATATTTACGAAAAACATATAATTAATAAAAAACAGACCATAATGATATTTGTGAGGATCTGACTGCACTGATCGAGAGAGAGCCTTCAAATGACGTAAAACTTTACATACACCACGGTAAAGGGTGCATGCTTGAATAAAATATTTGTAGAACAGGTATATCGTATTCTGTTTAAACACTGTGACACGATAGCGGTGTTTTCTTTGAAGTTTACTGTTCTGTATTAGCAATACAGAACGGGACTACGGTGGGCGGAGCTACTTTCCGTTCTGTATTAGCCCTGTATACAGCATTGTATTTGCCAACTATTCTGTATCTAAAATACAGCACGGTCTAAAAATAAATCTGATTCAATTTAGCAAAAGCACGTACAAATAGTAAATGCTGATGTTTTCCTATTATAAATTTTGGAGAAATACCCGGTATTTTCCTGAGAATGTAAAATGTCAAAATTTCTCAATCACTTTTTAAAAACTTATTCCACACAGAATCTACACGTAATTTCGATCCAAAGTAAAAGGAAAATTCGCAATAACGGAAAACATCCTCTGTACGTAATTTCGATCCAAACGAAACGGAAAATTCGCAATAACAGAAAACATCCACTCTCCTCGTGCAAAATCCTTCAAGTCCATTTTTTCCGCGTTTTTATTTTTTAAAATCCTTCTCGCTGACGACAGCCACACGTCTTTTAATGTCGCAATTAAATTTGAAAATAAAAAGCCGTGACATCAAAATCCATCGAAGAATTTTCTGTAATTCCTGTTTTTGTTAATCTAGATAAACCGGGATTTTAAGACCCCTCAGTGAAATAAATTTATGATAAATCTCCATCTTCAATTTAATAGATCACAACAATGACGGTTAAATCCCCCATCTTATCCATTAAGACTGACTATCACTCGATTACGTCTACCCCGTTAAATTGTCAAAACTAATCTGACCGAATTTTACGTTTTCCGTGGAAATATATATATACTGCGCATGCGCATTTCCCGTCGGGGCCTCATCTACAGAACTCTGGCGGAAGTTTGGATGCTGCAAAGTTATAAAGTGGGCGGAGCTATTTTTGATTGATCGTGTCACAAATCATTTAGAGAACTCGACAGGTTCTGTATCGTAGATACAAATTTGGGGGTGGAGACTCGTGCTCGCGCACTCGTCTCCACCCCCAAGTTTTTATCTACGACACAGAACCCGTCTCGTTCTCTAAATAATACTTATAAAAAGTTATGGCCAGGGTTAAAGTTTTTTTTTAGCTCACCTGAGCCGAAGGCTCAATTGAGCTTTTCTGATCACATTTTGTCCGGCGTCCGTCTGTCTGTCTGTCTGTCTGTCTGTCTGTTTGTAAACTTTTCACATTTTCGACTTCTTCGCAAGAATCGCTGGGCCAATTTCAACCAAACTTGCCACAAAGCATCCTTGGGTGAAGGGAATTCAAGTTTGTTCAAATGAAGGGCCACGTCCTCATTCAAGGGGAGATAATTGGGAATTTATGAAAATTTGGTGGCTTGTTTTAAAAATCTTCTTCTCAAGAACCACTGTGCCAGGAAAGATGAAACTTATGGGGAAACATCCTCAGGTAGTGTAGATTCAAGTTTGTTCAAATCATGACCCCCGGGGGTAGGGCAGGGCCACAATGGTCGATCAAAATTTTACATAGAAATATATAGGAAAATTCTTTAAAAATTTTCTTCTCAAGAATGACAAAGCCTTAATTGATCATTTTAATATGGAAGCATCCTCAGGTTGTGTAGATTCAAGTTTGTTCAAATCATGACCCCCGGGGGTAGGGCGGGGCCAAAATGGCTGACCAAACTTTTATATAAAAATATATAGGAAATTTCTTTAAAAATCTTCTTCTCAAGAATAACAGAGCCATAATTGATCATATTTATATGGAAGCATCCTCAGGTAGTTTAGATTCAAGTTTGTTCAAATCATGACCCCCGGGGGTAGGGCGGGGCCACAATGGCCGACCAAAGTTTTACATAGAAATATACAGGAAAATTCTGTAAAAAACATCTTCTTAAGAATAGCAAAGCCATGATTGGTCATGGGACTACTTTTGGATTTAAACTTTTCAATAATAAACCAATTTCTACTTTTTCCTAGCCACAGTGCTCAGGTGAGCGTTGTGGCCCATGGGCCTCTTGTTTAAATAAGTCAAACTTCAAGGTCAAAAATATTTATACCCATTGAAAGATCTTTTCACAATGAAAACACGTGAATTATGTATTATTTAGAGAACGAGACGGGTTCTGTATCGTAGATACAAATTTGGGGGTGGATACGAGTGCGCAGCACGAGTCTCCACCCCCAAATTTGTATCTACGATACAGAACCTGTCGAGTTCTCTAAATGATTTGTGACACAATAGCTCCGCCCACTTTATAACTTTGCAGCATCCAAACTTCCGCCAGAGTTCTATACATGAGGCCCCGACGGGGAGTACGCATCCGCAGTATATATATTTCCACGGAAAACGTAAAATTCGGTCAGATTAGTTTTGACAATTTAACGGGGTAGACAGAATCGAGTGATAGGCATTCTTAATGGATAAATTGGAGGATTTAACCGTCATTGTTGTGATCTATTGTAGATGGAGATTTATCATAATTTATTTCAGGGGTCTTAAAATCCCGGTTTAACTAGATTAACAAAAACAGGATTTACAGAAAATTCTTCGATGGACCTTGATGTCACGGATTTCATTTTCAAATGGAATTGCGACTTTGAAAACGAAATAAAAGAGATGTGAGGCTGTCGTCAGCGAGAAGGATTTTAAAAAATAAAAACGCGGAAAAAATGGACTTGAATTATTTTGCACGAGGAGAGTGGATGTTTTCCGTTATTGCGAATTTTCCGTTTCGTTTGGATCGAAATTACGTACAGAGGATGTTTTCAGTTATTGCGAATTTTCCCTTTACTTTGGATCGAAATTACATGTAGATTCTGGGTGGAATAAGTTTTTAAAAAGTGATTGAGAAATTTTGACATTTTACATTCTCAGGAAAATACCGGGTATTTCTCCAAAATTATAATAGGAAAACATCAGCATTTACTACTTGTACGTGCTTTTGCTAAATTGAATCAGATTTATTTTTAGACCATGCTGTATTTTAGATACAGAATAGTTCGCAAATACAATTTACTGTATACAGGGCTAATACAGAACGGAAAGTAGCTCCGCCCACCACAGTCCCGTTCTGTATTGCTAATACAGAACAGTAAACTTCAAAGAAAAACACCGCTATCGTGTCACAATATAACCCTAGCACCGATTTTTCAAACGTTATGGCCAGATAATAAAGTGTGGAAAGGTTTGGTAAAAGGAAAGTTCTGTGAAAAATGAAAGCCATAACCTCACCAAGTCAAAAGTTACGGGTAAGACTAAAGTTTTTTGTGGACCTCAGACAAACCGGATAAAAACTGAATTCATGTAACCCTGAATCTTCAATTACGAGTATATAAAGAGATTGAGATTCTAGACAAATCCTTTTATTTTCTCAGACTTTAAAAACATTTGAACAGTCTATAGACCTGATTTCACTTTTTAATTGAAAGTATCTTTAACGGCTTAATTGCATAGACGTTTTGAATAATATATATTAAGTCTGTTAAATGACACACGGAGGAAACGAGCAAATTCAAAGAATTTTGGTCCCCGGCTTTCGGTGTCTTTGTGGGTGAAATGTCATTTTTAATGGCATATTGTGTCAAATTTGAACGCCCTATCATTTGTCATTCAGAGGTTATCACCGAAATTGAATTTTTGAAAATTAAGTCAATTGTGAAGTCAATTTCAAGGGAACAGAAATCATAACATGGCTCGGAAATATCTTGTCACAGGTAATGCACTTGTCATA